CACACACACACGCACGCGCACGCACACCCACCACACACACACGCACACGCGCACGCACACCCACACGCACACACACACACACCCACACACCCATAGCTGATTGGTGCTACGCAGTGAGGCAGCCAGCATTAAAATATCAGTCCTCGTTATCAAAAAGAGCCGACAACACTAGTTACCATATACAACCCCCACCCCCCACCCCCACCCCACCCCCAACCCCGTGTTCCTATCATGTTTTATATATGAGATTGCATTCACACGCGCACACACGCGTGATGCCATACAAAATCATAATAACCTTAGCAGTACGGACACGACATGCGGATTTAATAACGTTACCAAAATTGAGGCGCAAATATTATAATAGACGCAGCAGACTCACCACAAATTCTTCGTACGTCGACGGTTTCCATGACAACAGGCGGCTGATTATTCGGGCGGGAAAGAGTCTAGCGATGTCAGGCATCACCGGTACGATGGCGCGCTCTAGAAACAAGAGGCAGAGTTTTTAGTTAACATCTGCTCACGTCGCAATCGTGTGCAATTCGAATGCGCAATGCGCTAAACAATGCGCTAAAATACATTCGATTCAACGCCAACGAAATATATACCCTAACTAATAATACCCTAACGAAAATAATACCCTAACAAATCGCGTTGAGCAATTATCCTTATTATTATTATTATTATTATTATTATTATTATTATTTATAGCCTTATTATTATTATTATTATTATTATTATTATTTATAGCCTTATTATTTTGTAATCCACCTGTGCACCTCTCTCACGCGCAGTGGGAGAAGGAGATGACGAGAAAAACCCAGAAAGAAAAAAAAACAGCCGCGAAGATGATGACACACTACTCTCCTACGGCGCTCACCGAATCCCGCCATCTGTCGCTGCAGTGCTAGTCTGGCTTCGACTCGTTTGCGCAGCGCCCTGATCGTCTGCGCGATGTGGCTGGAGCTGACCGCCGCGCTCGGCTTGCCCGACGACGAAGACGCGGCGCCAGTCTCGAGAAACTGCAGGCCGGCGAGTCGCTGCGCCCACGCGTAGGGGCGGCCGATGTCCTCCACGTACGACGCAAACTCCTTCATGCTGTGAGAGAGAGAGAGAGAGAGAGAGGTGAGAGAGAGAGAGAGAGAGAGGGAGAGAGA